GTAAGCAGTTGTCACATCCATCTGGTGTAGCACAAGATCCTCCTGCACCGCCACCTGCATCAACGCTCGAACAGAGGTCATACTTGCTGTTGGTGAGAAAGTTTCTTTATAGTCAATGCCATCTTTTTGTCTATTTCCTTTAGCAGCATATCTTGCTTTGTGACGCTCTGATCCATCTGGGTTTTCTTTTACTGCATACACCCAACGACCTCCCACTGCTTGTTTACCTTCTGGGAGTGGTGTCAAAGTAAAAGTATCATTTTCCTGTAAAGAAGTAATTTCCTCTTTCATTGCATTTTCCCATAATCATGATTTTAGAGTCCATGGCCTCTGTATAAGTTGTAGGTACACCATAAATAACTTTATAGAAATAACCTACGCCTTCACATCCATCATTACATACAGTTTTGCACTGGTAGTCCTTCAAATATTCAGGTGCTTTCCTTATTCTAGTGGGGTACCTCTTTTCAGCTCCTTGTGTGTCCTCTGATATAGTGGGTTCTGTCTCTGTCACCTCCTCAGCATCTGTCTCATCAGCCTCGTCGGGTTGTACTTCCTCCTGAATGTCCATTTTGGGTGTGTATTCAAAAATCTCAATGTCTTTTCTCATATCACCATCTGTTTGAATCTGACCATCTACACCGTCTCTGGTAAGGAATTTCACCAGCCTATGTTTTAGGATTTTCTCTGATTTAGGATAGTACACATTATACGCTGACTGTATTTATCATAGCCTATGAAAATACCTTTTTGACATCTAGAATCTAGTTTCTTTTTATCCTGTTTGTACACATAACATTCTGAACCAAAAATAATCATGTTGGACAGATTAGGTGTCTTTCCGGTAAAAACATAGTAGGGTGTCTGCTGCAATCACCTACTATAACACCAGTGCAGCTGTTTGTACAGCGTATGTCCACAAATGTTTAGGGAGATTACTCTCTAACAACCTACACCGTGACATCTCAAATAAGGTTCTCCAACCTCTCTGCAGTCCTGTTCTGGTGTGGTGAGTAGGGTGCACTAGTCTCGTGCCTTATCCCATTACTCCTGAGCAAGGATTTAAAAGTTTGTCCGGTAAATTCTGTACCATTATTGGATCTCAAACATTTTACCTTTCCATACAAAGCTATGTCTGCTATGAACTGCTCTGTAGCCTTTGTTGCATCACTTTTTGCTTTTAAAAAATATGGAAAAATCATGCCACTAAAATCATCGGTAAATGTTATGCATATCTGTACCCATCTTTAGCTACTGGTTCAATAGGACCACATAAATCAGTGTGTACCATTTCTAGCACAGAGGTAGCTTTAGCGTCTGTCCTTTTGTTTCTGGTTTGTGTGAACTTGCCTTGTATGCAAATTTCACATGTGTGATCTGACTTGTCACGCTTTCCATTTATGGTCATGCCATTAACCACCTTCTCTAATTTAACCACATCATCAAAGTTACAATGACCAAGTATCTTATACCAGGTCTGAATGTCGTGACAACCATACATGTCATCATTTTCTACAGTGTCAACATTTCCATTTTCTACGGTGTCTAAATAATACAGCCGTCCATGTACAGATATTCTGAACCTGGTACTATTTTTGTTTAACAACCAGTTATCTCCATCCTGGAATTGTACCTCAGCCCCGTTGGCTGTTGCTGCTTTAACTGAAAAAATGTTCTGGGGAAACAAGGGAATATAAAGCGCCTGCTTTAGTCTTGTCTTTACCTGTCGCCCTTTGCTGTCCAAGATGTAGATCTCAGCGTCTCCTCTCATTTTGGCCATCCCTTTCACCTTGGTGCCATCTGCGAGTTCGACCACATGACTTTCAGCTTTGAAGTTCTTGTCCACTGTTTTGAACTTAGCAGCATCGTTAATCATGTGAGTTGTGGCTCTGTAGTCCACCAAAATACCTTTCTTGTTGTCCTTCCGTGTGGGACAATCACTTATTTTGAAGAAACAAAAAGGTGCAGGCTCTGTCTCGTTGCTTTCCTTCGCCTTCCTCATGTAGTCTCGACCTCGTCCACGACTACCACGCCCTCTTCCTCGATATGTTGCGTTCCACCGTCGCTCTTCTCTGGTTGCTTGGGAACTTTCTGGGGATGCTCTGGCCATGTGCCCCTTTTTGCCATATGTGTAACACTCAACATCAGCCAGGGACACTCTCTTTCCTCTTTGTCTTTCCCGTGATCTGGTAATCCATGTTGTCTTCATCACATTGTCCTCCTCTACCCTTGCGTCATTCTTCCCGGGGGTTTTTTCCGGTGCCTTCGAAACTTCTAAGTTTCGTCTTGAACTCCCTGAACGTCATTTCATCTTCTGTCTGGGTGATATACACGATAGAAGGCTTATACATCATTTTGTATAAGCCTTCCAAGGCTACCACAATGGCTATCTGCAGCCCGTCGCTGATATTTTCTTCAGCTCTTTTTAACGACATGAATATGGCTTCAGTGTGGATTATAGTCAGTTACTGTTTCTGCACCAGTTATGCGAAGGGAAGATAGTTCACAATATAAACTCACAACATGGGGTTTGTCCTTTCCTGCATAGTGTTCGCGAAGAATCTCCAGCGCTCTCTGTCCATCTCATTTGGCGTCTCTCATGATCAAAGACGGGCTCTTATCGTCCAAGCATTGCACCAGCTCTGCATATACTTCTCCGTTCTTTGCTTCATCAGCGGCAATGGCGTCGTCATCCTCTTCTCCGGTTTCTGGTTTTGTAAGAATAGTATCTCCTAGGCCACATAGCTCCATGTGTACCAGGAAACGTGTCTCCCAGAGCTCGTAGTTCCTCTCGTCACTGTCGAATATCAGCTTAAACCACCTTTGGTATGACTGGGCCCATAACCTGTTATGTTAGACATTTTCCAGCGTGATACCTGCTGCCAAAAATGGATAGCTGAACCTGGTAGTCCTTAACCACCAGAGGTAAAAAACACAGATAGCCATCTTTCTCCTGCTTGGGTTGAGGTAGAGAGCTCACACCTGTTTATTGTCCATAATCAAACTTGAACAGCGTCCAGGTGCACGCAGGCACGTACAAATCATGTAATCTAATCCCCAAAGTCATGTGACATGCCTTTGCTACAAGCATCATGTTCTACAGGGTGTTAAACTACGACTCTGCTTCCTGGTCTGGACCCTGGGTAGTCATGGAGGACTAATAAAACTGGCCATGTTCCTAGAAAGAAGAGCTGCACCATCCAAAGAGGGATGGATGCCGTCTCTTCACATCAGACAAGGTTTTCCCCCCAAAATTTTCCAATTATCAATGTAGCCACGTTGTTTTAGCATGCTGCTAAACATGTCATCACTCATCCGATCAGGCAGGGGGCCAGAGAAAATTACAGAGTCCCGACATTGTTTTGGCAAACTTACACACCGAAGCAACATTAATGTTAGTGACCTCCGAATGGCGTAACCGGGTGTCGTTACCGCCAGCATGAATAACAATCTTACTGTATTTACGCTTATCCTTAGCCAGCAGATTCAGGTAAGATTTAATGTTGCCCGCTCTGGTCCCAGGTAAACATTTAACTATGGTTGCTGGAGTCTCTAATGCCACTTTTCTGACTATGTAGCTGTCAATGATCAGAGTCAGCTAGCCATGCTGAGGCTAAGCTAACTGGGCGAGCAACCCTTTCAACACCAAATAAACTGCGTGTGAACTCTTCCCTAAAAGCTAGGTGGAACAACAGAAAATGTGTTTTTAGTGTTCTTATGTGCTACAATAACTCAGAAATGTCCCAGTACAGAGAAATCTCATCAAATTTAGCGAGCCATAAACACTGAACAGCTACACAGAGTGCAACACTGAAAACAGGAAGTGACGCAAAACATCTTACCGCAGGAAGTGATGATCCAACACTAGTACGAGGTCTCAACCTATTTGTGCGTGTGTGTGTACGTGCATGTGTATCAGAAATCTCAACACCCCCATTCTTAAAAAAGCTTGCTACTCCCCTGTACACAATAACATTTTTAACTCTAATATGATTTTAATGCCATAAACATGTAAAGAAACCAACTTTGCCACCCAGAACGTGCTTCTCTCTCTGAAAGAAACCTGAGATTCATTCACGCATCCAAAACCTCGCATTTCATTTTAGTTTCCATTCAGTCACAGGTTTGCTTTTAAAAACAAGTTTTAATATCAAATTGTCTGTTAAAAATTGTCATTTCTAAATTGTCATTTCAAATTGTCCTTTTTAAAAGTGTTAGTAATAAATTCTTAACTTTTTAAAAACTCTGACTCTTTCAAATGGAACACAGAATGGTGTATATTCATATATATGGTGGTTGTTGAATAAGCAAAGATTCCTAACTTCCCATTCAATAAATAAACTTTTGCTATTAAATTTAATTATCTTAAAATTAAAAATTAATCTTAGGATTAAAAATAGACCAAGCTCGTTGGCATATGAACTTCTATCGAATATATATAATCCTAGATATTTATATATGATAGAAGCTTCATTTGTTAACTTGTCTGATCTTTTCTCAGGATCTAGCCAAACTGATAGCAAACAGTGTTAAATCCTAGTATGTAGTTAACCACGCTACATTTATTATATATTCTTACAAGGTTATAACTCTACTTTTCTTTTGTCAAAATGCACCAAATTGATGCTTTTAAATATAAAATGTCAAACACTATTTAACTATTAAATAACTGACACCAGTAGGAGTGACTGTATCAACACAGGAAGTGTATTAAAGTCTTAAACTCTGCGGTGTAAAAAATAACTACATCCTCAACCTCTGGAAAAGTAACACTCTTATATTTGCTGTGTATGTGTGATTCTCACTAAGGTGACAAGCTGCTGCTATTTTAACAAATAAACTAAGCAGATCTTTTAGTAATAAAATCCAAAGTCAGTGTGAACCACTATCATTTGTTGCACCTGTTTCTGGTGCACACACACCCAGTTTTAATGTTTTGGCCCATCATTCTAGTATATGTAAGGTTAACATTGTTTGTAATGTGTTTGTGTTCCCTGTAGATGTTGAGGAGTTGGTGCTGATTTAAAAAGCAGCTCCTGAACAACTGAGGTCTGGTGTTAACCAGAAGGATCTGGAGCCCCTCAACACGACTGAAGAAATGTGGGAGCAGCTTAATGAGATGAAGACTGATGCCACCAGGACTTCATTCTCTGCAGTTTCTTGCCAGTTTGAAGAAGAAAAAGTTCAATTGCCACAGTTTGATCAGCACCAACCTAAAGACAGAGATCCTTCAACCAGAAGCACCACTGACCAGATGAAAGCAGCAAGTGGTGGAGAGGACTGTGGAGGAGCAGAAAGTACCAGGAGTCCAGATCTAAATCCTTATGAAGATGATTCCCACTCTTCAGAGACTGAAGTCAGTGAGGATGAAGATGACCAGGATGGGAACAATTCTTACTGTCAACTGAAACTCTTCTCAGACTCTGAGCCTAAAACTGAAGACAGTAACAAAGACCAGAATGAGAGCAGGTCTTCTAAATCAGATGTTAAGGCCGTCAAATCTTTTCACTGCCCTGAATGTGGTAAAGAATTTCTCCATGAGCGGTCTCTCCAGAAACACCTGAGAGCCCACACAGGAGAGAAGCCTTTTGCTTGTGAGCTCTGTGGGAATAAATTTAGTGAAAAGGGACATTTAAACACACACATGAGAGTCCACACTGGAGAGAAACCCTTTCCTTGTGAGCTTTGTGAAAAAAGATTTAGTGAAAAGGGACATTTAAACACACACATGAGAGTCCACACAGGAGAGAAGCCCTTTTCTTGTGAGCTCTGTGGGAATAGATTTAGTGAAAAGGGAAGTTTAAACATACACATGAGAGTCCACACAGGAGAGAGGCCTTTTACTTGTGAGCTCTGTGGGAATCGATTTAGTGAAAAGGGAAGTTTAAACAAACACATGATAGTCCACACTGGATGGAAGCCCTTTTCTTGTGAGTTTTGTGAAAAAAGATTTAGTGAAAAGAGTAATTTAAACAGACACACGAGAGCCCACACAGGAGATAAGCCTTTTGCTTGTGAGCTCTGTGGACAAAGATTTAGCCTAAAGAATAATTTAAACAGACACATGAAAGTTCATACAGGAGACAAGCCTTTTGCTTGTGAGCTCTGTGGACAAAGATTTAACCAAAAGGAAAGTTTAAACAAACACATGAGAGTCCACACAGGAGAGAAACCTTTTGCTTGTGAGCTCTGTGGACAAAGATTTAGCCAAAAGAGTAATTTAAACAGCCACTCGAAAGTCCACACAGGGAACTAGGGATGGGTCCCAAAAACTGGGAAATATGACATTTGTAAGAGGATACTGATGACATTATTTCCTATGAAAGTGTTTCCTATGTACTTATCTGTTGTTTTTTTATTTATCTACTTTAAAGAGGATTAAGACTTTCCTGAGGAACACCATGACACAGGATGAGCTGAATGCTCTTGCCATGCTCTCCATGGAAAAAAAGCTTGTCACAAACATTCCTGACTTGAATAAAAAGGTCATTGAGAGCTTTGCCACTCATAAGGACAGAAGGGCAAAATTTCTGTACAAAAGAGGCATCACACACACACAAATGCATCCACTTGATCTTTGTATAAAGTTGACCATAGCACAACACTCCAGAAATATTTAACAGTGTAAATTTCTGGCATTTTGTCTAAGTAGTGTTTACTACCATTACTGTAACAGTGACCTGCTCATAATTGTTTGTGTTCACTCAAATGTTGAAATTAAACAAAATGTTGTTACTTGCCTCTTGCATTGCCTATTTACCATTTATGGTCATGTTATTTTATGTGCAATTTAATGCAGTATTTTTCAATCTTGGTTCGCAAGGCAGCGTGCCAATAGTCAGACACACCTGGATTAATCAGTTTGTCCAATGATGTAAGACAGGAAATAAAAGAGCTGTGCTTAATTCAGGAAATAGTGGAATTGTGCACAAAGCTCAGAAAGGACAAGTTTGTTTAAAAATAAAAAATAGCACAGCCCCACCAAAAATATTTTTCACCAGCCGCCACTGAGGTCAGAGGATAATGGGCCGACTGATTCAAACTGATAGAAGAGCAACTTTGACTGAAATAACCACTCGTTACAACCGAGGAATGCAGCAAAGCATTTGTGAAGCCACAACACGCACAACCTTGAGGCGGATGGGCTACAACAGCAGAAGATCCCACCAGGCACCACTCTTCTCCACCACATACAGGTGCTGGCCAGTAAATTAGAATATCATCAAAAGGTTGAAAATATTTCAGTAATTCCATTCAAAACGTGAAACTTGTACATTATATTCATGCAATGCACACAGACCAATGTATTTCCAATGTTCATTACATTTAAATTTGATATTTATAGGTGACAACCAATGAAAACATCAAATCTGGTATCTCAGAAAATTAGAATATTCTAAAGGCCAATGAAAAAATGTTTGTTTCTCTAATGTTGGCCAACTGAAAAGAATGAACATGAAAAGAATGTGCATGTATAGCACTCAATACTTAGTCGGGGCTCCTTTTGCCTCAATAACTGCAGTAATGCGGCGTGGCATGGACTCGATCAGTCTGTGGCACTGCTCAGGTGTTATGAGAGCCCAGGTTGCTCTGATAGTCGTCTTCAGCTCCTCTGCATTGTTGGGTCTAGCGTATTGCATCCTCCGCTTCACAATACCCCATAGATTTTCTATGGGGTTAAGGTCAGGCGAGTTTGCTGGCCAATCAAGGACAGGGATACCATGGTCCTTGAACCAGGTGCTGGTGGTTTTGGCACTGTGTGCAGGTGCCAAGTCCTGTTGAAAGGTGAAGTCTGCATCCCCATAAAGTTGGTCAGCAGCAGGAAGCATGAAGTGCTCTAAAACTTCCTGGTAGACGGCTGCATTGACCCTGGACCTCAGGAAACAGAGTGGGCCAACACCGGCAGATGACATGGCACCCCACACCATCACTGACGGTGGAAACTTTACACTGGACCTCATGCAACGTGGATTCTGTGCTTCTCCGCTCTTCCTCCAGACTCTGGGTCCTTGATTTCCAAAGGAAATGCAGAACTTGCTTTCATCAGAAAACATAACTTTGGACCACTCAGCATCAGTCCAGTCCTTTTTGTCCTTGGCCCAGGCGAGACGCTTCTTGCGCTGTTTCTTGTTCAAGAGTGGCTTGACACACGGAATGCGACACCTGAATCCCATGTCTTTCATGAGTCTCCTCGTGGTGGTTCTTGAAGCGCTGACTCCAGCTGCAGTCCACTCTTTGTGGATCTCCCCCACATTTTTGAATGGGTTTGTCGTCACAATTCTCTGCAGGGTGCGGTTATCCCTAGAGCTTGTACACTTTTTTCTACCACATTTTTTCCGTCCCTTCGCCTGTCTGTTAATGTGCTTGGACACAGAGCTCTGCGAACAGCCAGCTTCTTTAGCAATCACCTTTTGTGTCTTGCCCTCCTTGTGCAAGGTGTCAATGATTGTCTTTTGGACAGCTGTTAAGTCAGAAGTCTTCCCCATGATTGTGGTGCCTTCAAAACAAGACTGAGGGACCTTTTAAAGGCCTTTGCAGGTGTTTTGAGTAAATCAGCTGATTAGAGTGGCAGCAGGTGTCTTCTATATTCAGCCTTTTCAGAATATTCTAATTTTTTGAGATACCAAATTTGGAGTTTTCATTAGTTGTCACTTATGAATATCAAATTTAAATGTAATGAACATTGGAAATACATTGGTCTGTGTGCATTGCATGAATATAATGTACAAGTTTCACGTTTTGAATGGAATTACTGAAATATTTTCAACCTTTTGATGATATTCTAATTTACTGGCCAGCACCTGTATAGGAAAAAGAGGCTACAATTTGCACCAGCTCACCAAAATTGGACAGATGAAGACTAGAAAAATGTTGCCTGGTCTGATGAGTCTCGATTTCTGTTGAGACATTCAAATGGTAGAGTCAAAATTTGGCGTAAACAGAACGAGAACATGGATCCATCATGCCTTGTTACCGCTGTGCAGGCTGGTGGTGGGGGTGTAATGGTTGGGGGAGGTTTTCTTGGCACACTTTAGGCCCCTTAGTGCCAACTGGGCAGCGTTTAAATGCCACAGATTACCTGAGCATTATTTCTGACCATGTCCTACCCTTCATGACCACCATGTACCCATCCTCTGATGGCTACTTCAAGCAAGATAATGCACCATGTCATAAAGCTCCAATAATTTCAAACTGGTTTCTTGAACGTGACATTTGAGTTCACTGTACTACAATGGCCCCCACAGTCACTAGATCTCAACCCAATAGAGCATATATGGGATGTGGTGGAACGGGAGCTTCATGCCCTGAATGTGCATACCACAAATCTCCCATCAACTGTAAGATGCTATCCTATCAAACTGGGCCAACATTTCTAAAGAATGCTGTCAGCACCTTGTTGAATCAATGCCACATTGAATTAAAGCAGTTCTGGAGGCGAAAGGGGGTCAAACACCATATTAGTATGGTGTTCCTAAGAATCCTTTAGAGTATACATCATGGCATGGATTGTAAGTAAGTAGCTACGATGAGAATCAGCTCCTCTAAATCTCAGACCATGGTCTTAAGTCGGAAAAGGGTAGAATGCCTTCTTCAGGTCAGGGAAGAGGTCCTGCCCCAAGTAGAGGTGTTTAAGTATCTCGGGGTCTTGTTCATGAGTGTCAGAAAGATGGTTTGAGATCGATAGGTGGATTGGTGCTGCATCTGTAGTGATGCAGACGTTGTACTACCGGTTTGTCGTGGTGAGGAGAGAACTGAGCCAGAAGACAAAGCTCTCGATTAACTGGTCGATCTACGTTCTTACCCACACCTATGGTCACGAGCTTTGGGTAGTGACCGAAAGAATGAGATCACGGGTACAAGCGGCCAAAATGAGTTTTTTCCGCAGGGTAGCTGGGCTCTCCCTTAGAGATAGGGTGAGAAACTGTCATCTGTTAGGGTCTTGGAGTAGGCCCGCTGCTCCTCCACATCGAGAGAAGCCAGTTGAGGTGGCTCTGGCATCTGGTTAGGATGCCTCCTGGATGCCTCCTTGGTGAGGATCTCCGGGCACGTCCAACCGGGAGAAGGCCGAAAGGAAGACCCAGGACATGCTGGAGAGACTATGCCTCACGGCTGGTCAAGGAATGCCTTGGGATTTCCCCAGAGGAGCTGGTCCAAGTGGCTGGGGAGAGGGAAGTCTGGGCCTCCCTGCTTAGGCTACTGCCCCCGCGACCCAACCACAGATAAGCGGCTGTAGCGTCCAGCAATGGTCAGTTTGGGTACAGTCTGACCTTTCACCATTTATTCAACATCTGGTCAGAAAGGAGACACAACAAAACATGTGTTCCCTTTGAACACGTCTGCTTCACACCAGCTGGGATTCAGACTCCGCAGGTCTGACTCATTAACAATAACTTACTTTTCCCTAAGGTCTCATCTGTCTGCCTCCAGAAGAAAGAAGATCCTGCTTGAATCAGTTGCTAAATTCAAGAATGATTATAATGATTAATAACTTCTTCTATGACTTCTAATCTAAATAATCATTAAATAAACATTTGCTTATTACTACTTATGATAATGACAGTATAATGAAATGCTTCATTAGTCTGTGCTCACTGAATGGATGTTATGTTTGTCTACTAGACTGCAATGTGTTCACGATGTTTTGACGACAAGGTCCTCACACCTGCTCCACACCATCACAAGTACGGCTAAGTTAAATCCATTACACATAGCTAACCTTTTACCCAGATCAGAGCCTCCATATTAAAGAAGGAGTGTTTCTGAGTTGCCTTGGTAACATCTTTCCTGTCAGCCTCTGATTGGCTGTCCAAACCATAACAACTAAACATTAAAACTAAAACATGCTGAGAGACCTCTTTTATTTTCTTGCAAATTCTTTAAGTGTTTCTGAAATTTCAGTCAGGACATCACATACCGTATTTTCACGACCATAAGGCGCACCTAAAAGTCTTAAATTTTCTCCAAAATGTACGCTGCGCCCTATGGTGCGGTGCGCCTATTGTGTTGTTGTGAGACGTGAACGTAGTAGAAGAGAAGGGGCGTGGCGTGAACGTGCCGACGTGAGCGAAGACGGACCTGTGGATCTGCCACATCGCCATCAACGTCCTCGCTATTTGCCTCTTACTCCGGCTGCGAGTGTCCGTCCACTTCCTCTGCTTCCAGTTCAAAAAACAGCCGTACTATCTGAACTGCCTGGTGGACATTTATCCTTCTCATCATCCTTTATTAAAGCCTAATAAAAGCCTACTAAACTGCAGCGACAATATATCTGTCCGGATCGCTCCAAAATATGAAGTTTACCATCAATATCTGTCTAATTGTTTGTTGTTACTCCGTTCGCGCCACTCCTTTCCCCGCGAAGCGGCTCCTTTTTGCGCACATCTCGTTACTCGTGCGGCCTTCCTCTCTCTCTGTCAGCTACATAATGATACTTTTAATCAATTGAATATGTGAGACTTCCACCAACAGCAAAAGGATCTCATGTTTTTGTGGGTTTTTTATGTTCACAAGCTCATTCCCTCTCACGGATTACTAAACTGTTGTTTTGACAAGTTATCAGATTGTCTAAAAATAGGTCATTTTTTAGCTTATTATAACTCCGCTTTTACGTTGCCTATTAACAAAATTTTAAAACTGGGGTGTAGTTTATAATCTCCTTTTTAAAGCTGAATTGAAACCGAAACTCAGGGAGGCGGAGTCTTGCTGCTATAGTGTCCCAAAGCAGACCTGACCTAAAGACACAGATACGCGTCCATGGACCCCCGACGGTTAATAAAACAATTCAAATCACACTATTTTGTTAGGCCTATTAATAACACACATATGATTTTGTTCATGTGGAAAGTTCATGTGGTTAAATCCACCAACTACCGGTAAACACATTCTGAACTTCAACACAGCGCATCAGCGCTTGAAGCGGCGCTGCGACTCAAAAAGTACCAGAAAAGCTCACGGCGCATGCGCAATCATGCATCAACACTGCTCGCCCCATTTCCCTAATAACACACGCTGTTCGTTTTTACTTCTACACGTTTTTTCACTCACAAAGATTGTCAAGAAAGCGTGCTTGTCGTGTTCATGTCAAATTAAACTGATCACAAAACACAGATTTACTTTCTTTATTTCGTTTTACTCATCCAACCCCCATAAATCCCTGTGTGTCCTCCTGCAGCACTCCCCGTGTACGCCTGGCTTTAGTAGGAGGGAGACCCGCGATTATCGCTTTGTCGCGCATGTCTCATTGAAAATGAATGGAGAAGAGGCTAAGTTGCCTCCCGTGTGTCGAGCCCATTAAAAGAGCACGAGCCGTCAGCGCACGCAATGAGGGAGTGCACGTGCGCTCTAAACCAGGTCTGAACCAGGACTAGACCAGTAAAGTGAAGCATGCTTTTGGCTGTTTATAATTTTCACAATGTCTGGCTTGCACTGATGTGTTCCGAGTCCCGAGCCCGCACAGATGTTTTACCGTGCCGCGCCCTATAACCCGGTGCACCTTTTGTATGTGTTAAATACCAAAAAGACACCCATAACTGAAGCTGCGCCCTATAACACGGTGCGCCCTATGGTCGTGAAAATACGGTATTTTGTGCAGCTCTTCTTGCACTTCATTCAGCGCACAAATCATGTCCCTCTGTGCCTGCAGGACAGCGTCAGTTAGCACCCGGCCACTTCCAGGTGCGCTATGTGCCTGAGGCGCACTGATGGGACAGGCCGACCCTGCAGCCACATCTTCGATCGCCGCCCTGGATGTCTCGTTGGACGCTTTGTCCAGAGTCACTGGGGGGTAAACAACGAGATTTGGTTTTATTTTATATTTTAATGACAGACACATTTGATCTGTATTAATAAAAGGCTCAAACATTACCAGTTTACCCTGCATGGTCAGTGTCTCCCTCCTTCTCTGGCACGATGCTATACATGCTTGCCGGTCCGAGTACTGCTGAGATCCTAACGGCGAGCGGTGGGAGATCAGAGGTGCCAGGGCCTCTGCCAGTGGCAGACACACTCTGGTGGTGGCAAAACATCTTTTTTTGCCTCCACCTTCAGATCGGACCATTTTTTCTATATCCAACAGATCTCTCTGATGATTTCACAGCATTGAGTGCGTTTACATGCAGCCAGTAACCCTTTTAAAACCCAAATATTCACAATAACCCGGTTCCGCAGGTCCAAGTAAACACCGCCAAAATCCTGGATATGCTCATAACCGGGTTTTAACCCGGTTACTACACCTGGGGTAACCCTTTTCTAACCCGAATGTTTGGTCGTGTAAACGCATATCCCATCAAAGTGTGTGTTCTGCGCATGCTCTGTTCGCAAGGAATCTTGGTCTTTTGAGTAGCGAGACGTCTTGTATGCGCCAGAACACCGGAAGTAAACGACAAGTTGGGAGCAACATGGCGAGTCGCGGCACAGCACCACACTTTTGGAGTGACGAGGAAACTAAAGCGCAAACGCGGTCGCTATCTCTTCCGAACTGGGAAACATGTTGTTGTTTTCACGGATACTGGAACAAGAACAACCGGAAATGACGCATATTGCGTCTGGACGTAGTCCATACGTCCTGACGCTACCCCAACGTCCGCATTTAAATTGGGTTATGCAAGTTAGGGGTAACTCTTTCTATTTATGCTTGTAAACGGGTTATTCTGATCAACTCAGAAACCCGAATACCGACCTTAACCCGGATATTGGCTGCATGTAAACGTAGTCATTGACGGCTTCAGCAATGCTGTGCCACTCCCTGGATTTTCTCATTTGTTTTGCAAAAGTACTTTCATTTTTCCACCACCCACAAGTACCTCAATTTCTGCTTCGGTGAAATTGTGCTTCCTTGATCTGCGGTTGCCATCATTAATGGTGGAACGCTGCAACGAGCTGGCTTATGTATATGCATGAGATCCACAAGGCACTTTGCATTGACCATTTATGGCAGAAAGTGGACGTGTTGGGGGCGGGATGTGATCCAGAAACACCTGAGCACATTTCTAGGTAGTTGGTGATTTATAAAGCAGAGATTGAGTGAAGCTGTGCATACTCCATGTTTTATAAGTCACAAACTTGGCGTAAGTAAAAAAAAATTTCCTGAGCTTAAGTTTGGTTTTAGAAAGGATTCTACACAATGTTTTATAAATGAGACCCCAGAGCTTTAGCTCTAATTGAGAGCAGCTCATTGAGCACTGCAGCACTCCAGTTTTCCATCTCAGCTGATTTTGTTCAAAAAGCAAAACTTATCACTTGTGTTTACTTTCATTTTCAATTAAGTTGCCAGTCGGAGCTCGGCATTAACTCCCTAGTCATCATGACACCTCCCTCTGTTGTGCCAAGGCGCAATCGCCATTTATAAGACAGAGAATTACTGCAATATTACTATCAAGCGAGGTGGAACAAATGCGGCAAAATTCGTGCAACGGCATGCCGGCATAGCACGTGGTAATATTACGCCGATTTGCTGGCATGGTGTGTCTTGTAAAAAGGGCTATATACACACATAGGGCTATATACACACACAGTGCTGCTAGACACAACAAAGCAGGATGCAGTATCGGAGTTAGAGTCTCCAAAAGCAAGACTGCTCCGGCCTCTTTTGTTTACCAATGAAGACGCCGCAGACTTCTCCACGCACTTTTGCCCCACCCTCATCCTTGGAGATGCGCTCATGACATCGCTGATATCTATTTTTCATGCCAATATTGGAGACCTCACATGTGCTCAATAACGTCCACATTCCTAAGGCAGTGTGGAACAAACACGGCCAGCCTGGGCGGATCGGAGCCGATGCTAGTGTGTAAGTGGCTTTAGGTACCAGTGAAACATGGATCAGCTGGAAACCCTTTTGAATCAACTCTCTGGTGGTTTTACAGGTTGCAGTAAATTCCAGAAAATTCAGGTTCATCCTTCAGTTTTTTTTAAACCTTTCAAAAAAGAAGCAAAATACAGGAATGAGTTAAAGCATAAACTAGATTTATTTTAGTCAACAGGAAGTGGTTTAGATCAAGTTTGTTTTCTGGTCTGAATCTTATTTCTGCTTATCTGTGAAACTCATCACAGGTTTAAAAGAAAAATGAGTCAGGTTTCTTTTATGAAGAAAAAAAATACTTGTGACAAACACATTTCATGAATATAATAGCAAGTGAGAATTTTCACATAAGTTAAAGAAAATGTTTTGCTGAATTTTCCAAATCGAACATGGAAACGACTTCTCACCTGTGGTGACTTTTGGTGTGATAAGTCAAGTTCCCTCTTTGAGTGAAACATTTACCACATGTTTCACATCTAAAAGGTTTCTCACCTGTGTGAGTTCTCATGTGATAAAACAAGCCACTACTGACAGTAAAACATTTACCACAAGTTTTACATGGAAATGGTTTCTCACCTGTGTGAGTTCTCATGTGTTTAGTCAAGACACTACTGTAAGAAAAACATTTACCACAAGTTTTACATGGAAATGGTTTCTCACCTGTGTGAGTTCTCATGTGATCAGTCAAGACATTAGTCCTAGAGAAACATTTACCACATGTTTCACATCTAAAAGGTTTCTCACCTGTATGAGTTCTTGTGTGTTTAGTCAAGTCACTACTGTAAGTAAAACATTTATCACAAAATTCACATCTAAATGGTTTCTCACCTGTGTGAGTTCTCATGTGATCAGTTAAAGCACTATTGTAACTAAAAGACTTTCCACAGATTTGACATGAAAAGTGTCTCTCATCTCTGTGAGCCCTTTTGTTCCTGTTTAGTTTCTGACTATCTACACTGTCTCGATGATCTTTGGTTTGATGGCGTCTTTTATTTTGTGTCAGTTCTTCATTGCCATTTAGTTCAGAGTTTTCATTCCTGCAACCATCTTGATCTTGGTTTTCAACTTCAGTAGAACTCTGACACAAGGGTTGGTTCCTGTGTGGTTCTGGATCACAGCTGTCTGTTTCTTCAGAAGGAGAGTTCGCCAAGAAGGAAGCATGTTCCTGCTTCTGAATGACCTGCCCTTCATGCTGGCAGAGCTCCTGCTGTTCCTCCTTAATCAGTGGAGGTTCTGGTTGCTTCTGGTCAAAACTGGAGGTGGTCTCCTGGTTAGAGAGCAGCAGGTCAGTCAGAACTTCCTCCTTTTCCCAGACATGATGCTGTGGACGTTCTGAACAGGATCAAAGACAATGGAAAACATTTAGTAACCCTCATGTTATGTTTATTTCTCATGAACACCAATGACGTTCCTGGGTCCGTTTGACCCGACACATTGTTTATATTTCAGTATTAACTCTATTACTAACCATTTCAATCAATATTTGGTGTAATGGTGGGTTTTTTTCACCTCTTGCAGATCAATGATAATATTGCAGCTTTTATTCATTCAAATTAAATTTTAAACCAATTCCATTATTTGGTTCCTTTCTGAACACAGAGTAATAAAGCTGTGTTTTTACCTTCTTGCTGACAAGTTTTACCTAAATGTGAAGCCTTCTTCAGGGCATCGCCAACAGTGATGGGAATATCGCGGTTTAAAATAATGGCATTACAGAAAAAAATGTTTTCAGTAATCTAATTAATGACAGTCTTCTTGTATCATAACGCCATTTCCATTACTGATAAGAAAATGCGTGCATTACTAATTCAGCAGCGCGGTGTGTTGAAGCGGTCATCAGCTGATTGGGAGCCAAAGAGGTGGATGTTTTCATCCAAGAGCATCACGGCCCGTGAAGAACGAGGAAGACTTGATGACTAGTCTTCGGCTGCAGACCCGCAGATAGGCTGCTGCAGCCGTGACCTTCTTGGTGTGACAGCGGGACGTCCCGAAGGTCTGCTCATCTGTTCACCGCTCAGACGTCACAATCTTCTACCTTCCTAGACCATCCAACTGTAACCTGTTTCTGATCATGTCTTTAGTCCCGCTGTAACACTGGTTGCATCCGTCTCAAACGTCATGGGTGCTAAGGTGTTAGTAGAACTACCTGTGTGTCTTCACACAGGTAGTTTACACGCTGGTCCGATTTGCGTTTTTGGTTCCGAGGCAAGGCAAGGCAGCTTTGTTTATAGAGCACATTTCAAACACCGAGGCAATTCAATGTGCTTTACATTTATCAGGACATGGTATGAAAACAGCATAAAAACACAAATGAAAATACACACAGACAGAATTACAGCTTAGAGCTAAAGGAGAAGACAAAGTTACAGCGCAGATCACAGTGGAGACGATGCACGATAAGAAACAATCCATGTAAAGGCTGATGAGTACATTAGGGTTTTAGTTTTGATTTAAACAACACTAGGGTTGGGGCACATCTGAGGTCATGGGGAAGCTGTTTCCATATGTGAGCAGCATAGTAACTAAATGCATCTCCACCATGTTTGGTTTTGACCCGAGGTTCTACCAGCGGATTGTTTCCAAGGGATCTCAGAGCCCTATTGGGTGTATATACAGGAATGAGATCAGACATGTATTTTGGTCCCATGTCATTGAGTGATTTATAAACTAGTAGGAGCACTTTGAAGCCTATACTGTAGTTTACTGGCAACCAGGGTAGGGATGTGCTCCGTTCTCTTAGTTCTTGTTAAGACTCTAGCAGCAGAATTCTGAACAAGCTGCAGCTGCTTCACAGCTTTTTGGAAAGACCAGTTAGGAGACCATTGCAGTAGTCCAGCCGACTAGAAATAAAAGCATGAATAAGTTTCTCTAAGTCTGGTCTGGACATGAGACCTCTGACTCTTGATGTTTGATGAAGGTGATAAAACGCGGATTTAGTCATAGCCTTAGTATGTCCAGAGAAGCTCAAGTCTGAGTCAATGATAACACCAAGATTTCGTGAGTCCAGCGGCCGACAGTCACTAGGTGATAGGGCTAGGTAGATCTGGGTGTCATCAGCATATGATAGGCTATGTTGTTATTAAGTATGACTTGACCCAGGGGGTTACATGTAGAGATTAATGAGTAGTGGTCCTAGAACTGAGCCTTGGGGGACCCCACATATGGTGATCCACTTTGATTGGTAGTCCCTAATAGAGACAACATAGCCCCTGTCTTTGAGCTAAGACTGGAACCAGCCAAGCACTGTGCCCGATAGTCCCACTCAGTTTGTGCGTCTGTCCAGAAGGGTGTTATGGTCCACAGTATCAAAAGCTGCACTGAGGTCGAGCATCATCAGGACAGACGCTTTAACTGAATCAGTGTTGAGACGAATGTTGTTTAATAACTTCATCAGTGCAGTCTCTGTGCTGTGGTGCTGTCTAAAGCCTGACTGAAGACCGTCCATAATGTTATTTGATTCTAAATAATTGTTTATTATTTGTTTATTATCATTACCGCCTTTTCAATGACTTTTTCATCAGAAGGAGATTAGAGATCTGTCTGTAGTTGTTCAACACTGAGGGATCTAGTTTCCTCTTCTTTAGAAGGGTTTCACTGCAGCAGTTTTCAGTGGTTTAGGGGAAATACCTGATGTTAAAGAGCAGTTAACAATTTCCAGTACCTCAGCTTTTAGGCAACTAAAACATTTTTAAAGAAGTTTGTAGGCAGGCTGTCCAGACAGCAGGTAGAGGAATTTATAATAATAGTAATAATACATTTTATTTAAAAGTGCCTTTCAGAACACCCAAGGTCACTTGACAGAAAACACGTAATAAAATACAACAATAATAAAACCCAAACAAGAAAAAACAAAGAGAGAAACAGTTCAATAAAATCAGAGGTTGTAGGCAGATTTAAACATATGTGTTTTGAGTTTTGTTTTGAAATGGGTAAAACTGTCGATGTTCCTGATGTCTGGGGGAAGTGAGTTCCAGAGACGGGGAGCAGAGCGGCTGAAAGCTCTGCTCCCCATGGTAGCGAGACGGGCAGAAGGAACCGCAAGATGGATGGAAGAAGAAGATCTGAGTGAACGGGATGGGGTGTGAATACTTATAAGGTCTGAGATATACGGAGGAGAGAGGTTGTGGATTGCTTTGAAGGTATGAAGGAGAATTTTGAAGATGGACCTGAATTTAACTGGGAGCCAGTGAAGCTGCTGGAGAACCGGGGTGATGTGGTGAAAGGAAGGGGTTCTGGTGATAATACGAGCTGCTGAATTCTGGACCAGTTGCAGTTTATGAAGGAGTTTGTTGGGGAGACCATAAAGAAGTGAATTGCAATAGTCGATACGGGAGGTGACGAGGCTGTGGACGAGAATGGCGGCAGTGTGAGGGGTCAGTGAGGTACGGAGACGGTTTATGGAACGTAGATGGAAGTATGCTGACCAAATTATGTTATTAATGTGAGCTTGAAAAGAAAGTGAGCTGTCGAGGATGACACCCAGACTCTTGACGTGAGGTGAGGGGGAGACTATGGCGCTGTCAATAGTTAAAGAAAAGCTGTCAGATGTTGAGAGGGTGGATTTAGTGCCAACTAGAAGAAGTTCAGTTTTATTGCCGTTGAGTTTGAGGAAATTAGAGGTGAACCATGATTTGATTTCTGAGAGGCAAAGTGTAAGGGAGGATGGTGGGAGAGTTGAGTTGGGCTTACTGGAAATGTAGAGCTGGGTGTCATCCGCGAAGCAGTGAAACTGGATATTGAATTTACGGAAGATTTTGCCGATAGGGAGGAGATATACTATGAAGAGGAGGGGCCCCAGGACAGAGCCCTGGGGAACACCTGACTTGACTGAGGAGGGTTCTGAGGAAAAGGATTTTAACTGGATGAACTGAGTGCGGCCAGTAAGGTAAGTGTTACGGCTGTTGCCGTTTGCCTCAGAAATCTGACACTGCAGAGGACAATCAGTGCTTCCTCCACCTCCTACCTGCACAGCTGCACTCACTTGGGCTGATCACCTCCTGAGCAGCATAAAAGGGAGAGCTGCCAGGAGGAAGGGAGAGACTGGATCTGTGCCAGTTCTCTCATGTGCTCCATTTGTTTGTGTTTTAATGGCTTTTAAATGGGTTTTAGTTCTTTAAGCTTAGTGAAGCTTAAGAGCTTTTAGAGGTTTTTAACAGACGAGGGACCAGAGTGCTGGTTACCTCTTGGCTCCCAAACTTGTGTTTAAGTCAGTGTACTTTGTTTTGTGAATGTTTGGGAGCATTTGATGTCTGTTTTAAACGTGAACCCTTGGCCATTTTAACAATGTGTTTAAGTACTTTTAGATTTGGAGCTTTTTGTCATTTTAAAATCCTTGTAATAAATCTGTGTTTACAATTTCCACAACTGAAGCACATGCCTCTGTGTTACTCCCCGTCCTTCTCCATATCCACCAATAGAGGACGTAACACAATGGGGGCTCGTCCGGGAAATCAACCATTCCATGAAGGACTTTTAATGGCATGTGCTTTTTGCAAACAGGTTTTATTCATAGGATTTTAAGATGTGTGGTCAGCTGTGTCCTCTCAGGTATTGTAAGTATGTCCTTTTTGTTATATTCTGTTGTGCTTGTTATATTTTAAAGTGAACAGAGTGAATTCCCTATAGGCTATTGGAGCGCACCCTCTTTAGGATGCGTTCTGGTTTTTGTTTTTCTAGAGTTGGGGTTATGGAGGTTAGTGTTGGTGATTCAGTTCATCATCTCGGGAGCACCCCAGGAAGGGCTGTGGCTAACCCCCTCCCTTTGTTGGTTTTGAATGTGCCTCGGCACATGTGCTTAATCGGCCCATCTCTACGCCCCATGAAGACTAGGATGGAGATCAGCTAGACTCCTTCAATTAGCTAGAGGGAATTCTTGTTGGAAAAAAAAAACCTGGGAGTGTTTGTGATAAAAGCCATGGAGGATAAAGGTGAAAGAAAAAAAAATTGTGGTTGAACGTGTTTTAATTTTTTTTCTTTCTTTTAAGGGAGGAAGTGTTACGGCTGTTGCCGTTTGCCTCAGAAATCTGACACTGCAGAGGACAATCAGTGCTTCCTCCACCTCCTACCTGCACAGCTGCACTCACTTGGGCTGATCACCTCCTGAGCAGCATAAAAGGGAGAGCTGCCAGGAGGAAGGGAGAGACTGGATCTGTGCCAGTTCTCTCATGTGCTCCATTTGTTTGTGTTTTAATGGGTTTTAAATGGGTTTTAGTTCTTTAAGCTTAGTGAAGCTTAAGAGCTTTTAGAGGTTTTTAACAGACGAGGGACCAGAGTGCTGGTTACCTCTTGGCTCCCAAATTTGTGTTTAAGTCAGTGTACTTTGTTTTGTGAATGTTTGGGAGCATTTGATGTCTGTTTTAAACGTGAACCCTTGGCCATTTTAACAATGTGTTTAAGTACTTTTAGATTTGGAGCTTTTTGTCATTTTAAAATCCTTGTAATAAATCTGTGTTTACAATTTCCACAACTGAAGCACATGCCTCTGTGTTACTCCCCGTCCTTCTCCATATCCACCAATAGAGGACGTAACAGTAAGATTGAAACCAGCGGAGGGGGGTGTGAGTGATGCCTAAGGAAGAGAGTCTATTAAGGAGGATGGGATGAGAAATGGTGTCAAAGGCCGCACTCAGATCGAGGAGAATGAGAATAGAGATTAAACCAGAGTCAGCAGCAATGAGTAGGTCGTTAGTGATCTTGATGAGAGCTGTTTCTGTGCTGTGGTGGGGATGGAAGCCAGACTGAAACTGTTCATAAAGGTTATTGCGGGTGAGATGGGAATGGAGCTGAGATGCAACAGTTTTCTCAAGGACTTTGGAAATGAAGGGAAGATGGGAAATGGGACGGAGGTTATTGAAATCATTGGGATCTAAACCAGGTTTTTTTAGAATAGGGCTGACTGAAGCGGATTTGAATAGGGAGGGGACCGTACCAGAGGATAGTGAGGAATGAATAATGGCTGTTATAAAAGGGAGCAGAGAAGAAAGGCAGGATTTAACTAAAACTGTTGGAATAGGGTCAAGTTGACAGGTGGAAGGTTTGGATTTGGTGATGTAATCTAATATTTCTGAGGGATGGGGAAGTTCAAAGGAGGAGAACTGAATGGAGGGTTCAAATAATTCAGGAGAGGGAGGGGAGGAATGAGGTAAAGAGAGATGGATTCTATTGACCTTATTAAAAAACTGAAGGAGAGAGTTACAGGTTTCTGAAGAGTTAAGATGGATGGGTAAGGAGTCGGGAGGCTGAAAAATGCTGTTCATGATGGAAAATAATGCCTTAGTGTTGCTGGAGTTGGACGAGATGAGACCGGAGTAATACTGAGATTTGGCATGGGAGATGGAGTCCTTGTAGAGAGAAATCTGAGCAGAATATAAGTCTTTATGGATGGTGAGACCGGTTTTCTTGTAGAGTCTTTTAAGCCTCCGGTTGGTAGCTTTCAAGGAGCGTAGGGCAGGGGTGAACCATGGAGCAGACCGAGTAAAATATACAGAGCGGGATTTGATGGGAGCAAATGAATTAAGGATAGAAACCAGACCGTTATTGTACTGAATGACAAGATCATCGGGAGTAGAGGACAAATTAGGGGTCAAGGTGGCAAAACTGGAGGACAGGGAGGCTAGATCAATGTCCTTAATATTACGAAAAGAAATGACACGTGGTGACTTGATGATGGAGAGACGGAGGGGAACAGAAAAGGAGATGAGGAAGTGGTCCGTGAAAGGGAGCGGGTCAGCTGTACAGTTGGAGGGGGTCAGGCCGGAGCAGCAGATTAAATCCAGGGTGTGACCTTTAATGTGAGTGGGAAAATTGGCATATTGATGAAAACTGAGGCTGTCCAAAGATGAGGAGACGTCTTTGCTGAGGGGGAGGGCCATATTGTCCATATGAATATTAAAATCACCAAGTAAAATTATATTTGGGGAAAGGGCGGACAGATGGGATAAAAGAGCAGAGAGTTCATTTAAAAACTCAGGGCTGAACTTGGGGGGACGATAAACAGTCACAATTATTGTGGGGGTCGGGCCGGAGAGTTGACAGGCGAGGCATTCGAGAGTGGTGAGAGGAGGAAGGCTTACGGGAAGGACCTTCCAAGTCTCGCGATAGAGTATCGCGAGACCACCGCCGCGGCCCGACCCACGTGGTTTGGAGAGGTAAACAAATCCGGGAGGAGTACAGTCATTGAGTTGTGAGAAATCGCTGGGTTGTTGCCATGTTTCGTTCAGACAAAGAAAGTTTAGCTTATGGTCACTGATGGTATCTTGGAGGAGATGTCCTTTACCAGAGAGGGAGCGAATGTTGAGAAGACCAAAATTTGCAGTGCGGAAGTCCCTGGCGACAGGAGCATTAGCCCGACTAGCCAGCCGGGCTAACACGCTGGAGTCGGCAGCTCGGCAGGTATTCCTGGGTAGCCGCCGGCTAGTTGTGGACCAGAAGGAGGGTATTGCTTTGGAGCCGTCGAGATGGAGGTTCCGCCGGGACCCCCGATGGATATACCGACGGCGAGGCTGGAAGGTGATGTCGGGGAAGAGGCACAGAGCTGGTGGTGGAGATCCGGAGTAGTGAAAGCGGAGGTTGAAGAGCTCCACCGCCGAGTACTGGAGAAGGCCATCCACGGAAAGAAGAATGAGCGACAGGATGATCCAGGCCAGTGAGAGGCACAGAGAAATCCTGCTGGACCACATTATGGAGTGGAGCAGGGAGGTGGTGACGTGGAACCAGAACGCAAGCTGAGCAGGTAGGTGAAAATGAGTTTTCACCGACACAGGGATATGACTCGGGTGAAAAAGAAAAAAAAAAACACAAAAAGTTTGTTTTGCCGAGGAGCAGCGGCAGCGAGACGCGCCAGCGTTCACTCAACCGGAACCAGAAGTGATTTAGGGTCTTTACTACGTCATTCAGTGTTTTAGTACTAATCAGGCTGAAAGCCGGCATTGTGACCAGGTTGTTGCTGTGTGGCTGTGTCCGTGGTCTGGTTGTGTTAGCTGATTTAGAGGAATGAATGGCTAATCTAATATTTGTTATTTTTTCATTGAAGAAAGATGCTAACTCATCACATCTGGTCTGAGATATGAAGTCCGTGGCTAACTGTGCTGGGAGACTAGTTAGCCTCTCGACAGTTGCAAACAGAACATGGGAACTGTTAATATTATCATTGATGACTTTTGAGAAAAATGCTTGTCTCGCCTTTTCAATCTCCGCATTAAAAGTACGCAGCTGCATTCTGAAGGTCTGATAGTTATCTGGTAGATTACTTTTCCTGAATCGGCGCTCTGCTTTTCTACATTCTCGCTTTGATTAGTAACAGATCTAGAGAACCTCCATGGAGCTTTCTGTTTGCCTGAAATCAATTTGACCTTTTCAGGTGCAATGGAATCAAGGACTTCAAGTGTTTTGGAGTTGAAGCTGGCTAAGAGTGAATCAACACAGCTGGATGTTGGACGTGTTGATAAGTTCATCTGTTTGGTAAAAGCTGAAGCAGCGTGGTCACCTATGGCCTTTTTTGTGAACAACTGTAGAATGAAGTGTAGCAGGTGAGACTGACATCTGTGAGAAAACACAGAAAGTATCAGATAGGCCCACATCTTTAACAATGTTTGACACAACAAGGTCTTTAGTTAAGATTAGGTCGAGACTGTGGCCCTGCTCGTGTGTTTGAGCATGGACATTTTGTTTAAGGTCAAACAACTCAAGCATATCAAGAAATTGTTCTGCAGATTTGCTGGTAGTGTTATCAACATACATATTAATGTCACCACTTATGATAAGGTGTGTGTAATCTATAGGAGAAGACAGAAAGGAGCTCAGTAAAATAATCTATGAAAGTTCTAGAAGGCCCTGGTGGTCTATAGATGACAAGTGCTAATACCTTAGGTGTACCTTTAACTTCGAAGCAAAGATATTCAAAAGAGTCATAGTAACTGCACACTACCTGATTACAAATGAATCGGTCTCCGTTCAAAGATAGAAGCAACACCTCCTCCCCTCCTATCAGGACGAGAGGCTTCAATGAGAACTGGTGCACAGGTACTACTGGTGCACAGGTACTATCAGATAACCACATTTCTGTCAGGAAGATGGCATCTAGATTGTGAGAGGAGATGAGAACATTTACTAGAAATGACTTATTACTGAGAGATCTAACATTTAACAAAGCCACCTTCATTGATGTAACTGGAGGACATTGAGTTGGATTAGGTTGATAAGGAACTGTTATCAGGTACTTAGGATTATGTGCTCGAGAAGGCACTTTCAGTCTTGCAGGGATTATGACAGGAGTAGGCAAAGTAAAGATTTCGTCAGGTCCACATTTGTTCTGGAAACATTTATAAGTGTTATATTTCCCAAAATCTGGACCCAGCCGTCCTCAGACACAAGAAGTAGACGGTTCTCCAGAGGTGATTGGAGCGAGTGAGGTAACATGTGGACAGTGGGCTGGGGGTGGGGGGTGGGGGGTGAGATTAGGTGGATAGGGAGGTGGAAATCTGACTCGTCTCACTGATGGATAACGACTCATGAGCCCTTTTCAGAGACATTCTGGAACATTTGTGGACAATTCAATCCGGTTTTTAACTGGAACTGTATTTTCAGACACACCACTTTTGTACCGGAACTTGTCCTTTCGGCTGCGTTCACACAGCAGGGAAAAGTTCCAGATGTCTGACGGCGGCGGGGGGTGGGGGGTGGTAGAATCAGACTTAAGTTAAGAAGAAGAAGAAGAAGAAAATATCATTTCTATAGCACCTCTCAAGATAAAAATCACGAGGCGCTTAAACATAATTCTGCGCACACGAAGACGCATAAGAGACCTGGATGATGAAGCTCAATGGTTAAAGGAATCACTGAAGCGGTGTGAAGCGCTCCGTCGCGCGTCTAGATGATACCATAGGAGGCGAGCTGCCATGGTTCGCCGCATGCTACAGGAGCGAGCTATCTAGGTGCGCACAGCGTCCCTCGGTCCCCTCCTCCTCCCCCTCCCCCTTGTCCGGAACTCTACCTCACCAGTCTGAAGCAGCCACCCTGTCCGTAACAAGTCCGGACCTGTTACTAGGGGCTTCGTCCGGTTAAATTCCGGAACACGTTATCCGGATGTTTGTATTCAGACACAAAGGTCTTACGGACAGAGTCTGGAACATTTCCGTTTTTCATGGCCTGTCTGAAGGGGGCTATGGTGGCACCGGCGAGCAGAGGGGGGAGGAGGAAGGGGGTAGAGCTGTGAGGCTGTTCGTGATCTTCATGTTTGGGAACATTCAGTGTGTTATCAGCAGCTGTAGCTTTGCTGGTGTGGAGTGGTGGTCCGTGAGAGTAGGAAGATGGTGCTGACTGTTGAATGCATTTCTCATGCCTTTCCTTGTTGGGGGAAGCAGAAACACGGAGCATGTGTGCTAGGTTTGAGGTGAAAAGATTAACTCCAGATTTATTCAAACAAATTCGATCAGACTGAAAAAAGTGCTTGTGATCCCAAAAGAAGTTGAACTGGTCAAAATATGGGATGCTCTCCTCATCACAAGTGGATGACAGCCATTCGTTGAAAGTGTAGATCCGTGAGAAAAGTTCAGCTCCTCTTCTGATAGGTGGAAGGGGGCCGCTGATAAGCACTCGTTTCCAGGGAGATGAGTGATGTCAGCAGAGCAGTAAAATCACGCTTAAGGGTTTCTGAAACCCTCCTCCTGATTTCATCAGCACCAACGTGAATAATGAGGTGTTTAGAAAGCATTGTCGGTATTCTGTCTGAGATATCAGTAATTGTATCCTTGGAAAAACAAGAAGTTTCAGAGTAACGGCCATTTAAGTTCACATACTTCACGTGAAAGTCGCCCATTATCAGAGTCCGAGTCTCATCAGAACTCTTCTGCTGCTGGTTTTGGTTTCTTACCCTGTTCTGAGATGAAGAGGCCTTCTAGCATCTCCCGATCAGGCTGCTTTAGCAGCGGCGTACCTCTGTTTTGCAGCTGAATGCTTGTTTGATGAGATGTTCCTCTGGTGTCTCTCGTTTTGCCAGCTTGTCGATGTTGTGGGCTGCTGTGTTCATTATGCGGTCGTGAAGGTAACGCTGGCCAGCCATTTTCATCTGTGATGTCATGGAGTGAAGTCAGTTTACCTCCTCTTGTTCCCCATGGAGAAGACTTATTCTTTGGCTTTGCACCAAGGGTGTTCCTGGGAGGGGCTCTCGGAGATTTATTAAGAGGTGCTGACCAACTGTGGATCTTCCGGGGTCCTGGGACCTTCTCATCTCCAAACAGGTCATTTGTCTCCCAGTTGAATTCTAATTGAGCAGGTTTGGTTTCCTTGAACCGTCACCTTATCGTGGTGGAGGAGTTTGAGTGCCCTAATGATCCTAGGAGCTATGTTGTCTGGGGCACTTAGTGCCCCTGGTAGGGTCTCCCATGACAAATTGGTCTTAGGTGAAGGGTGAGACAAAGAACGGTTCGAAGGATCTTTCATGGCAGTTAAAACGAAGAGTCGGAGTACCCGGCCCGGAGGGTTACCGGGGTCCCACCCTGGAGCCAGGCCTGGGGTTGGGGCCCGTGAGCGAGCGCCTGGTGGCCGGGCTTTCGCCCATGGGGCCCGGCCGGGCCCAGCCCGAACCGGATACATGGGCTCGTCCAACTGTGGACCCACCACCCGCAGGAGGAACATGAAGGGTCCGGTGCAATGCAAATCGGGTGGCAGACCAAGGCGGGAGCCTTGGCGGTCCAATCCCCGGACAAGAAAACTAGTTTTTGGGACATGGAACGTCACCTCGCTGGCGGGGAAGGAGCCGGAGCTTGTGGCAGAGGTTGAGCGGTACCGGCTAGATATAGTCGGACTCACCTCGACACATTGCATTGGCTCTGGAACCCGAGACCTGGAGAGGGGTTGGACACTCTACTTTGCTGGAGTTGCTCCGGGTGAGAGGCGGAGGGCTGGGGTTGGCTTTTTGTTAGCCCCGAGACTCTCTGCCTGTGTGTTGGGGTTTACCCCGGGGGACAAGAGGGTAGCTTCCTTGCGCCTTCGGGTCGGGGAACGGGTCCTGACTGTTGTTTGTGCTTATGGGCCAAATATCAGTTCAGAGTACCCACCCTTTTTGGAGTCCCTGGGACGAGTGCTAGATAGTGCTCCATCAGGGGACTCCATTGTCCTGCTGGGGGACTTCAATGCTCACGTGGGCAATGACAGCTTGACCTGGAGGGGTGTGATTGGGAGGAACGGCCCACCTAATCTGAACTCGAGCGGTGTTTTGTTATTGGACTTCTGTGCAAGCCGCAGTTTGGCCATAACGAACACCATGTTCGAACATAAGGATGCCCACCGGTACACTTGGTACCAGGGCAGCCTAGGTCACAGGTCGATGATAGATTTTGTAGTCGTATCATCTGACCTGCGGCCGTATGTTTTGGACACCCGAGTGAAGAGAGGGGCGGAGCTGTCAACTGATCACCACCTGGTGGTGAATTGGATCAGATGGCAAGGGAACATGCCGCGTAGACCTGGCAGACCCAAACGCATAGTGAGGGTCTGCTGGGAACGCCTGGCAGAAGAACCTGTCAAGACGGTCTTCAACTCCCACCTCCGGCAGAGCTTTGACCACGTCCCGAGAGCAGTGGGGGACATTGAGTCCGAGTGGGCCTTGTTCCACTCTGCGATTGTCGAGGTGGCTGTTGCTAGCTGTGGTCGTAAGGTGGCCGGTGCCAGTCGTGGTGGCAACCCCCGTACCCGCTGGTGGACACCAGAGGTTCGGGGAGCCGTCAGGCTGAAGAAGGAGGCCTACAGGGCGTGGCTGGTCTGTGGGTCTCCGGAGGCAGCAGACCGGTACCGGATAGCCAAGCGGGGTGCAGCAGTGGCAGTTGCCGAGGCAAAATCTCGGGCGTGGGAGGAGTTTGGTGAGGCCATGGAGAAAGACTATCGATCGGCTCTAAAGAGGTTCTGGCAAACTGTCCGGCGCCTCAGGAGAGGAAGGCAGCAACTCGCTCACACTGTTTACAGTGGGGATGGGGAGCTGCTGACGTCAACTGAGGCTATAGTCGGACGGTGGAAGGAATACTTTGAGGAGCTCCTCAATCCCACCAATGCGCATTCCGAGGAGGAACCAGAGCTGGGAGGCCTGGGGATGGACTGTCCGATCTCGGGGGCAGAAGTTGCTGAGGTAGTCAAACAACTACACAGCGGCGGAGCCCCGGGGGCGGATGAGGTTCGTCCTGGGTATCTCAAGGCTATGGATGTTGTAGGGCTGTCATGGTTGA